AACGACACCTGCTTCTAAGGCCTGGGGCGCCTCGCATGGGACCCCGAGGAGGAGGCTGGCCGTTGCGAGGGCCATCCGCGAGGCGGTCGCCGCCTCCAGAAGCTCGCCCGCAGACAGGAAGCCCATGCAGCTGCCCTCGAGAGAGCCGCCGGCTGCAACGTCGCAGTGCTCGCCCACGGCCGCAGGCACCAGGTCGGCCGCCACGCCCGTGCTCCGCGCGACGTACACCTGCAGCTGTTCCCTGAACGAGGCGAGCTGTGGCGTCAGCGCGTGCTCCGCGGCAGCCCAGCCTTCCTGCAGCGAGTGGATGTCCTGAGCCTGCTTCGCGACCGGAGACCTGTACCAGGTGCAGTCCGACGCGGCACGGCGCAGCTCATCCCGCAGCATGGCCAGCTGGGACGCGCCCTCGTCCGCGGACAGCGCATCGAAGTCCTGGACCGCGTCGAAGACGATGAACTCGCGCACCTCCTCGCCGCCGAAGGTCACGACCCTGAGCGGCCTAGCATCGGCAAGCCGCTGTAGGTGATCCATGGTCCGCACCTCCGCCTCCAGCGCCACCGCGAGCTGGTCTCCGCGAGAGTCCAACCGGCTCCGCCTGACACCCGACGAAGCTGCATGCAGCCCATCGCTGCGATCGCCGCGGGCAGCGAGTCCCGCAGTGCGCCCTGCTGCTCGGCGGAGGGCAGCGGCGGCCCAACCGAGCTCCCCCCCTGACGTGGGGGAGGAGGAGGAGGAGGAGGAGGAGGAGGAGGAGGAGGAGGAGGAGGAGGGAGGAGGAGGAGGAGGAGGAGGAGAGAGAGGAGGAGGAGGAGGAGGAGGAGGAGGAGGAGGAGGAGGAGGAGGAGGCGACCCAGGCGCCGCTCCCAGACGTGGACCAGCAGCCGCCCCAGCCAGGGCCGCCCGCGGTGCGCCAGCAGAGCCTCCCGGGGCCGCGGTGCGCCGCTGGCGGCTGCCGCCGGGGACGCGCCGCCCTTCCGCGGCGAGGCGCAGCTCTGGCCGAGCGGCTGCCTCGCCAGCGCGCCACAAGCCAGGCTGGACTCGCGACGCGCGGCCACGGGCCGAGCTCGCAGCAATCGCCGCCGCCGCGCCGGGTGCCGCGCCGCAGTCGGGCCAAGCAGCGAGGCCTCAACGGACCGAGAGGCGCTGGGCCGCCCCGCCACAGGCGGATCGGGCAGCCCCCCGCGGCCCCGAGTGCCTCCCTCCTGTCGCGCCGCCATCCCGTGCGGCCCGAGATGCCCGCGACTGACAACGGAGTATGGAAAGAACTGGCTTGAGCCAAAATGGCTACGGACGCTATTGTTGCTGATATGGATAATTATTGTGATGATGATGATGATGATGATGATGCTGATGATGGTGATGCTGATGATGATGATGTCGATGATGAGTTTGACAATGATGATGATGATGATGATGATGATGATGATGATGATGATGATGATGATGATGATGATGATGATGGTGATGATGATGATGATGATGATGACGATGACGATGATGATGATGATGATGATGATGATTGTGATGGTGGTGGTGGTCATGATGGCGATGAGTATGATGATGAGTATTATGATGATCATGATCATGATGAGCATGATGATGATGATTATGGCTGTGATCATGATAGTGATGATGGTGGTGATTAGGATGATGGTAAAGTGGTGACGATGATGAAGATGATGATGATGATGATGATGATGATGACGATGATGGTGATGATGATGATGCTGATGACGACAACGACGATGGTGATGATGAGAAATAATGGTGAAAATGCTGATAACAATGCTGCTGATGATTATGATGATGATGATGATGATGATGATGATGATGATGATGATGGTGATGACGGTGATGATGATGGCAATTGTGATCCCCCACCACTGGCGCGAGCGTCAAAAGCGCTTCGCCCACGCCATTGTTGGTGATGAAGAAGATGGTAGTGGTGACAATGTTGATGATGGGAATGACGATGGTGGTGAAGATGACGGCGATGCAGATGATGAAGATGGAGAAGAAAATGACGACGGTGGTGATGGTGGTGATGGTGGTGATGATGAGGAGGAGCAGGTAGCAGGATGTTGGTGCTAATGCTTATGCTGGTGCTGATGATGGCCATGCTGATGATGACGGTGATGATGAGGGCAATGATGACGCTGGCCATGACGATGCCGATTGTACAGATGAAGATGATAAGAAAGTGCGCTCGCAGAAACTCCGACATCCCACCAGCTCACTGGGCGTAGGTGGTATGACGGATTCCTTCTATTACGTTTTCCAAACTCTTTAATTACCATGATTCGGGGGGTAAGCGAATCAGCTCACGTAGCCCTCCTGGCATTGGAGGCAGCCATGTATCGACGAGAGTGCCCAGCCGCAGGGCCGAAATCGGCTGCACGCAGCTGATCTTGTAACCCCCCTATGTCCTTATCCACCTCATTCGTCCAGCCCGGTGACGTGGCCTAGTTTGGCCCTCTCGTGGACATACGAACAAAACACGGCGAGATACCAGAGAAAAACCCAATCAGAATGTGTTCAGGGCTGTAAGGCTATGGGGCTATAGGGCTATACGGCTATGGGGCTATCAGGCTACAATGCTATGGGCAATAGAGCCATAGGGCTATAGGGCTAATGGGCTATAGGGCTGTAAGACTATAGGGCTATAGGGCTATAGGGCTATAGGGCTGTAGGACTAGTGGGCTATAGGGCTCTAGGGCTATAGGGCTAATGGGCTGTAGGGCTATAGGGCTATAGAGCTATAGGACTACAGGGCTATTGGGCTATTGGGCGATTTGGTTATAAGGATACAAAGCTTTAGGACTATAGGGTTATGGGGCTATAGAGCTATGTGGCTATTGCGCCATAAGGCTATAAGGCTCAAGGCCTATAGGGCTATAGGGCCATGGGGCTATAGGCCTATAGGGCTATAGGGCTGTAGGACTATAGGGTTATGAGGCGATTGGGCTATAATGCTATAGGGTTGTAGGGCTATAAGGCTATGGGGCTATAGGCCTATAGGACTATTGTGCTAGAAGGCAATAAGGCTATTAGGGCTATAGGGCTATAGGGCTATTGGGCGTTCGGGCTATGGGGCTATAGGGCTTTAAGGCAAGAAGGCTATAGGGCTATAGGGCTATAGGGCTATAGGGCTAGTGGGCTATAAAGCTATGAGGGCTATAGGGCTATAGGGCGATAGGGATATAGAATTATAGTGCTATAGGACTACAGGGCTATAGAGTTATAGGGATATAAGACTATAGGGTTATAGGACTATAGGGCTGTAGGCTGTAGAGCTATTGGGCAATATGGCCATAGGGTTGTAATACAATATGGCTATAGGGCTATAGGGCTATAGAGCTATAGGACTATAGGGCTATTGGGCTATAGGAAAATAGGGCAATAGGGCTATTGGGCTGTAGGGCAATTGGGTGATCTGGCTATAAGGCTATGTGGCTGTAGGGCAATTGGGCAATTGAGCTATTGGGCTATTAGGCTATTAGGGCTATAGGGCTATAGGGCTATAGGGTTATAGGGCTATAGGGCTATAGGGCTACAGGGCTATGGGGATATTGGGCTATAAGGCTATAGGGCCATAGGGTAATAGGACAATTGGGCTATACGGCTGTAGGGCTATTAGGGCTATTAAGGCTATAGAGCTATAGGGCTGCAGGGCTATAGGGCTATGTGGCTATTGGGCTGTAGGGCTATAAGGCTATAGGGATATAGAGCTATAGGGCTATTAGGGCTATAGGGCTATAGGGCAAGACGACTATAGGGCTATAGGGCTATAGGGCTATAGGCTATAGGGCTACAGGGCTATAGGGTTGTAGGGCTATAGAGCTATAGGGCTATAGGGCTATTGGGCTATTAGGGTATAGGGCTCTTAGGGTTATAGGGCTGTAGGGCTATTGGGCTATAGGGCTATAGGGCTATTAGGGCTATAGGGCTATAGGGCTATAGGACTATTAGGGCTATAACGCTATAGGGCTGTAGGGCTATAGAGCTACATGTAGGGCTATAGGGCTGTAGGGCCACCAGGCACCTAGGCACCCTCGGGCACCCGGGCACCCGGGCACCCGGGCACCCGGGCACCCGGGCACCCGGGCACCCGGGCACTTGGGCACTCGGGCACCCGGGCACAGGCACCCGGGCACCCCCAGGCACCCCCAGGCACCCGGGCAGCTGGGCACCCAGGCACCCCCAGGCACCTGGGCACCCAGACCCGGCCACCGAAATCGGCAACATAGGTCACCTACACATATGAATCCGATAGGACCCCTACAGAGGCAAGCTCTGATTGGGGAATAAACACAAACTGTCACAGATCCGCTCGGATTCATTGGATCAGCGCTGGACGCGCTTGAGGCGCCGCCAGGGGGAGGCAGGCGCCGATCCAAGAAACCGCACGGATCTTCGAAAGTACGCAGTTGTTTTGCTCCTCGAGGAGCACACGTGGCGTCTCTGGGGCTCCCTGAGCCCTCGAAGGATTCGCCACCTGGGCGCAGCTGGCCAGGCTGGTTGTATGTCAGTCGGTCGAGGCGCCTTTCCGAAGCGCACCTGCTCCTAAATGGCGGGATGAAGAGCATGCGGCTCCGACCTCGCATCCTTTTTCTTTGAAAAGGAGTCTTTCCTCTCGCCCAAGAACAACGCTTCGTGTGCTGACAGCCCGAGGTGACCGAAGCGTGTAGCACTGGGACGCCACTGCATGAGTCAGCCAGACCAGTGACCCTGGCCGACTAGACGTCACTCCAGCTGCGTGTGTCACAGAATCGGTGCGCCAATCTTACGGGAAGTGCCAGCTAAGAAGCGCAAGAGAAGAAGGAGGGGAAGCAGGAGGACAAGAAGGTGGACACCAGGACTCAACAGGACGCGTGCGAGGCACAAGCGAGGAAGCGGTTGCGCTTGAGAGCCACTCTCATTCTCACCCGAAGTGGGGGAGAGAAGCACACCATGGTGGACGAGAGGACGGAGAAGGGAGAGAAGGCTCCGACCCCACACCCCTACATCTCGCTCAGCAGCGCCAGAAACCACAGCCACTGCCCGCTTCTCTCGCACGCGCCGATCCCACCGCTGTAGCTGACGGCTCGTGCGCACCTGCGGATGGAATCCCCAGTGGGCAGAAACACTCTTCTAGGGGGAAAACAAACCTACCTCGCTTTTGACCACCCTCGCTTCCAAGAGATACCAAACGATGCCAAACTGCGGCCTGCGCTGGTCAGGCCGCTTGACGAGGAGGCGCGTGGTATGGCTTGGTTTTGCCTGGGAGCGAAAGCCTAGATTGGCTCTGGATTCGCACTCTACCTGCAAGGAGGAAAGACTGGTCTACTCTGTAAGAACGGTTTCTTGAAGGCAGATCTGCCTTCAAAAAACCGTTCTTACAGGGTAGGTAATCCACGCTCTGACCTTCCCTAAAACAGTGCCTGCGCCGAGGGGTCCTCGCTTCGTGCCACTGCGGAGCGGGATGGGCCCGCCGAGGCTTCGCCGCGTCGCCCGCCCGTGGCCGCCTCGTGGCCGCCCCCTTTGAGGGGGCGTCCGCCGAGGCATCGCCGCGGCGCCGCCCGTGGCCGCCCCGCTGCCGCCCACTTCTCGGTGTGCTCCACAAGGGCATCGCCGCGCCGCCGCCCGAGGCCGCCCCATGGCCGCCTCACTTGAAGGGCCCTGGGACACACAAATAAATACACACGAATAAAAACATTCCCCGTATTGTCCTATATCTTCTGGGTTTTTTGTGTCTTCCCCCACGACACTTCCCATATTTCCCCATGTTTTCTGGGGAATCGGCGATTAATTGTGTCTGTGTGTTTTTTCCCCTCCTGACTCACTGCCGCCCGCTTCTCGGCTGGGTCTGGCCCCGAGGCCGCCTCGCTGCCGCCCACTTGTTGGCTGGGCCCGCCGAGGGTATCGCCGCGTCGCCGCCCGCGGCCGCCCCGTGGCCGCCCCTCGCGGCGGTGGCGGAGGTGCGGAGTGGGCAGGGAAAGGAAGGGAGTGAGGGCGAGGGGGCGTGAAGGAATGAAGGGGAACTGGGACACACAAATAAATACACACAAATAAAAAGATCCCCCATATTTTCCCATATTTTCTGGGTTTTTGTCTTCCTCCCCACTTCCCATATTTTCCCATCTTTTCTGGGGAATAGGCGGCGGGCGAGGGGGGGAAATCAGAAGAAGAAGGCCTTCTCAGAAGGCGGCGGGACTTCTCAGAAGCCCTCGCGCCTTCTGGGAAGTTTTTCTTATCTTCGGGGAAGGCTTAAGAAACTTCTCAGAAGGCCGGGGGACTTACGAGACTTCTGAGAAGGCCCGCCCCTTCTCACTTCCCCCCCCCGCTCGCCGCCGAGTGAAGGAAGAGGGCAGCGAAGCATGGAAAAACAAACAGGCCTCACCTCTTGGAGCAACGTTGGTGTGGAGGGGGTCGCAGGGAGTTGCTGCAAGGCCTCCTTCGAAAAATGCAGTGGCGGCTTGCCGCACCAAAATTGCCCAAAGAGGCGTGGGGTGAGAATTGTTCCATACTCGGCGCCGAGTGGCGCTGCTCACTGAAGCCTGGAAAGGCTACTTGGTGTTGCCTGCTGCCGGGACCCACACTCGCGCGTTCCTCCTGCACCTTCGGTGGCAACTCATGGGAGCCTCCCATGCCATCTTGCTGACCCTTGTGAATCGACGCTAATCGAAGCTAATCGACGCTAGTCGACACTAAGTCGACGCTAGTTGTTGCTAAGTCGGCGCTGTATCATCTATTACCCGACGCTAGCGCACGCGAGTGCACTCTGAAGATGACATTGCGAGACATACAGAGCTGCATGAATTGTTACCGACTGCACCCCGTCTTCTGGAGGCCACACCGTCGAGAGGGAGATCCCTCGGCCCACCGTGGAACATAACGAGAAGGCCCTGAACATGCCACCGACGCGGGCTGGCTCGGAGCTGCCGTGCCCTCTCGCGCGGTCATGGTCTCTGACTTTGCCACGACTCGAACTGCGGGATACCCCGACAACCTCGCTGAGTGTCTATGTTCCAATGGGTCTACAGTCAGGAACTGTTGTTTAGCGTGTCGCTGCAGCGGCCACGGCGACACGCTACGCCTTGTAAGTGAAAAGCGTGTCGCTCCGCTCCGCGGGGCGGGGGGATGGGAAAGGCTGGGGACATTAACGCTCGGGGACCGTGGGGTGGGTAGCGTGTCGCTCTGAAGGGTAGTGGAGACGGAAACTCGGAGATTATCATGGAGGCTCTAGTGCGAGAAAGGCCCCCAGGACTCTTTGCAGGCCTCGCTCCAGCGCGGTACGGTGCACAGGTCGGATCACTGTGCACCATACAAATCCTGAGTCAAGGATCGACGACGCCTCGGGAGACGCCAATGCAGTACAGTGCACACTGGGCGAAGAGCCCAGGAGGAAGCGAGCGGGCCTTCTCAGAAGGCTCGGAAGCCCCTCGGCCCTCTGAAGAGTGTCTGAGCCTTCCCCGAATTCACAGAAAACCTCCCAGAAGGCCGGAGGCCTTCTGAGAAGCCCCGCCGCCTTCTGAGCAGGCCTTTTCCTTCTCTCACTTCGCCCCCTCGCTCGCCGCCGAATTTTGGGGCGTCATCGCCCCTCTTGGGCTCGCAACTGGCATAGCCTGGGCCCGCGACTGCCGTCCTCGAGGCCGTCTGAGGTTTCGTCGAGGCCTCCCGCACAGGCGGCGGGGGGCCTGACTTCTCGGAACCTCTTCCGCACTCGCTGACCCCTCGGGGTGGACAAAGTCCCATTTCCGGGGGGTGCTAACGGTGCCCCTGGCCGAAGGTGCCCCCAGCTTTTCGCTCGATGTTGGAGGCTCTGGGCCCCCCCCCGGGCCTCGTGGGGGGTGGTCTGGAGACCGTGGGGGCCTCCTTGGAAATCCTAGTAGCAACACCCGACCTGTAGCTCCGCTGATGGACAAAGCCGGATCGGCCTGCTTTGACGACTGACGAGCGTGGTAGGTTTTATGTGGATCCACGAGTCTGCGGGCGAAATGCCTCTGACCCAGACCTCGGGTGGGTCGCGCGGAAAAATCAATTTCGCGCCCCCGTTAGCAAAACACCGCTTAGTGAAAACAGCCCAGGGACAAACCCAGCAAGCGCAAGCCACCGAAATGCAGCCATAACACCTTCTCTAAAACCAAAAAAGAGCAAAGGGCAATTCGCTGATCGCCTTGGCAGGGTGGAGGTCTCTCTCGGCCTCCGACCCCTGTTGTAGCAGCACAGAAGACTAAGGCGGACCAGCGGACTACCAGGAAGCTGAAACACACACACACACACACACACACACACACACACACTTGTTGTTAGTCCGCGGGCGCCAGGTGGTCAAGGACGGTCAGACGCCGGTCAGCAGGCGGTGGGATGCACCGCGAGCGGATTGAGGCACAACAGTAGAAGGGGCACGGCGCGCGAAACACACACACACACGGCTGGACTCGCGTGCGGAGAAGGGCCAACTTCTGAATGCACGTGTTGGGGATCACCGTGCCTGCCCATAGGAGGAGGAGGAGGAGGAGGAGGAGGAGGAGGAGGAGGAGGAGGAGGAGGAGAAGGAGGAGGGGGGGAGGAGGAGGAGGAGGAGGAGGAGGAGGAGGAGGAGGAGGAGGAGGAGGAGGAGGAGGAGGAGGAGGAGGCGTGCAGCCACGTGAGACTCCGCTTCTCGCCCAGGCTGGCCGCGTCATACAGCCATCGTGCTACCACAGGGGCTGCGAGATGAGGAACGCAGGGGCGTTTCCAGCCATGGCGAGCCTCGGCCACGAAGGAGCTGCGCGGCGGAGGAGGGGGGGCAGGGAGCATCCTGAAATGGCAAGCTGCTTCGGAAGAAGAGAAGAATACCAAGTTCTGCCAGAAGGAGAAGGAGAAGGAGAAGGAAACAAACGGATGGTCATGAAAACTGCGAACTGTCGCGGCCCTGGCCATGATATCCACACACCCCTGGTCCCCCCCCCCCCTCTTGGACGTCCCCGAGCTGATTGTCTCCGTTCGACGCCGCCGTTCGCCGCAGAGCGGCGGCCAGAGAATTGGACACCCGTGTGCCCGCTGCTGTCGGGCGGCCTGCCAGTGGACGAGGGCTCCGCAAGACCCGCCCGTCGGGCAGCGGGGCATCAGTGCTGCCCGCGGCCGTGCGCGAGGTCGGGACAAGTTCAAGGCACCTTGCCCGCCCACCGTCGCAGCTTGTCCTCACCAGCCGCCTCGAGACTGCTTGGGTGACCAGCTTGGTTGTGAGTTTGGGCCTGGATCGATCGATCGGTCCCCCCCTCCGTCCTCCCTCCCTGCTGCTGCCTGCTTGCTTCTGGAAGCCTGGGCGCCCGGGTCGCTCCCTGGGCAGCCGGGCCGGGGAGGCGCGCGAGCCCGTGCGGCCTGCCCGGAGACGGCGCCATCTCTGCGCCACGCCACCGCCCGTCCCGCGGGGGGCCACCGGGGAGGCTTGGGCGCCACCGTTCGGCCCGGTGGTGCTGCTGAAGACCCGGGTATCCAGTCGGGGCGTTGACCTAAGGAACCCAAAAAAAGGAACGAGGCCCCTATGTTCCATAAGTTGAACTTCGATTTCGTATCGAAAGCCTAAGGAAAATCCAAGGCAAGCTGCGAAGCACTTAAGGAACGCGGAGCCCCTCCCCAACGAAAAGGGTTCCTTCTTCAGGGCCCCGACTGTACCCGTGTTGGGGGGGGGGGGGAGCGCCTCCTGGGCCCTGTTGGGGGCCGCTCTGGAGCATCGGGGGGCCTTTCCGGGACCTCGGTGTGGGGCCTTGCAGAGGTGCACGGCATGGCTTGCGAAATGGCGGCAAGAAAACCTTGCGGTGGGTCTCTGCTGGGGGGGACCTCTTGGGACCCGACAAACTGGACCCTGAGATCCGACGGCGCGAAAAAATAAAGACATCGTTACAAATTACGACTGGAGCCCTGGACCCCATCTTTCTGTGTCATTTTTCGGGCCGGATCGATATGTGAGGGTCCCGGGGCCCGAAACCTGACGAAAACGCCCAGCTCAGGGGAGCCCTCCTGGTGGGAGGGCTTGGAGCCAAGACTTCCCTTGAGGCTCTCTGGGGCCCTTCGTGCAAGTCCCGGGACTGCTGGCGTCGTGGGCCCAATCATGGGGCCCTCTGGAGCCGTCTGGCGTCGTCTGGGAGGCCAGCCAAGGCAATCTTGGCCCTGTATTAGGCCCTCTCAGGGGCTCTGTTGGGTCCCCTGGGCCAATTATCTTCGAAGCACCTGGGGCCCTTCTTGAAGCCATCCGGAGCCGAAAAGCGGAGAATGCCACATAGATATACAGAAGCCGAGGTACAGAAGCCTGACGAGTCTCGCCTCTTGGGGTCAGCCTGGTGCCATCTTGGAGCGTGCTGGGCTACTCTGGCCGTCTGTGCCTGGGGGGCGCGTCGTACCCGTATGGCGCCCGCCTGGCACGCTCTGAGCCTGGCGCTGCACTGCCTGCAGCCGACTGGTGCACCCGTGGGCAAATCCACGACAGGCACGGTCGAAGTGTCGGCCCCGAGCGCGCAGATGTCGCCGACGCGAGCGAGACAAGGGGCGGGAGGGAGAGCGGCACCAAAGGGACGGCCGTGGAGGCCCCGAAAAGCAGAGGAGGAGGAGGAGGAGGAAGAAGAAGAGAAGAGAAAACGGGGAGAGGAGTTTTCTGGGGCCTTGTTTGGGGTTTGGGGCTTCTGCTTGGGCCACTGTCGTGGAGGTCTCTCTCTCTCTCTCTCTTTATCTCTCTCTCTCTCTCTCTGTTTATCTTTGTCTGTGTGTGTGTGTCTCTCTGTATCTCTCTGTGTCTCTGTGTGCGTGTGTGTCTGTGTGTGTTTGTGTGTGCGTGTGTGTCTGTGTGTGTGTGTCTGTGTGGCTGTGTGTGTGTCTGTGTGTGTCTGTGTGCAGGGAGGAGAGGAAGAGAGGGTGCAAAGAGGAAAAAAGCGGCACTGGAGAGAGGGGTGTGCAGGCACCAGGAGAAAGAGGAAGAGAAGAGAGGTGAACAGGTAGAGGGGCTCTCTGGGTCGTCCTTTGTGGTTCGGAATTTTCTGTGGGGCCTCGGGTGATCCAGGAACAGCTACATGTGGCGGAGCTTGAGGCTGTCCTGGAAGCTCCTCGGCAGCTATCGGGATCTCGTAAAGGTCTGCGGGGCATGTAGGAGTGGTCTGGGGCCTTTTGAAGGGTATGGGATTTTCTCTGGGGCTTCTGAGAATCTACAAACGGCGAAATGTGCTGGGGCTGGAGACTCTCGTGAGAGCTCCTGGGCAACTGTCGGAGTCTGTTGGTTGGGAGGCTGTAGAGCATCTCGGAGCGGTCCGTATTGAACAGCTCTTGGGGCCCTTCTGGGCCGCCTGAGATTCCAGAAACAGCTAAGGGTGCTAGAGCTGGAGACTCTCTTGGGAGCTCCTTCGCAACTGTCGGAGTCTGTTGAGAGGCTGTAGAACACCTCCGAGTAGTCCTCCTTGAACAGCTCTTGCAACCCTCTTGGACCATTCGGGAGCCTTCTTGGGCCATCTCGGGGCCGTCTCAGGGGCCTCTGTGGCCGTCTTGGAGCCATCGTGGAGGTCTGGAGCCGTCTGGGAGCCCAGTTTGGGCCCTCTTGGGCAGCTCCTGGGGCCTGCTTGGGGTTATCTTAAGGGGGGCATTTGAAGCTCTGTTAGGCTCTCTGGGGTCTGTTCTTGGCCGTCTTGGGGCCCTCTTCGGCTGTCTTGGTGGGCTCGTCAGGGCCTCTTGGGCCATCGTGGGGCGATCTCGGAAGGACCTGGAGCCGCGTGGGGCCGGTCTGGGCCTGTCAGAAGGAGAGCGTGAAAACCCTTGAACAGCACACCGCTCTTGTTCGTTTTTCGCCTCGTGGGGCCGTCATCGGGGTCCACGTGGGGCCTCTGTAGAGTCTCCTGGCGAGTCTTCGGGCCCTCCTGGGCCGCCATGGGGCTCGCTTCGCGTCCCCCTTGGGGCCGTCCTGCCGCCCTCTTGAGAGCGTCTCTTGCTGTCCTGGGACCGTTTGAGGCCGGCCTCGGGGCCCGCCATCGGATGCCCGCTGGAGCCAGCGTGGAGCGCCCAGAGGCGCGCAGGGACCTTGCGCTGCTCGCCCCTCTTGGTGGCACTTCGCCACCGCGGATGAATCCGCGCGCTGAACCCGGGGCTCGCACACCGTATATTTAATCAACAGAGCGGCTCGTCGAAGCTCTGGAGCTCCAAGAAGCGTCCAAGAAGGTCCCCGACTAAACAGAAGTTCGACAGAGCAGCGTGTCCGACCAGGACGCGGTTTCTGTTCAAGGTGTCGTAATTTTGCAGCCCTTGCGGGCCCCCTCTGGGTTCCCTGGGCTGTCTTGGAGCCCTCTTCGCTCCCCCTGCGTGCTCCGTGCGAGCATCTCTGGCTCTCCCCTGGTGCTCCAAAACACGCCCATGCGAGCCCCAAAATACAACCGACATTGAACAGAACAACCTATCCAACCCGGAAGCGGATTATGTCCCATGCTTGTCAATCTTTCAGACCCCCTCGGAGCACTCTCGAGCACCCCCAGGAACTCCCTGCGAGCCTCCCCGGTGCTCGAAGACGCGCCCAAGAGAACCCTTCATGCCTGCGCTGAGATTGCCGCCGCGTCGACGCGACGCGAATCTGCGCACCCCTCACCGCTGCTCAATGAAGAGGGACAAGAGCCTCGGTCCCAGGTGGCGCGAGACGGGGCAGGCAGCGGAGAGGAAGAGCAACACAAGGACGAGGGAGAAGGGAGCGAGAGCTCCGGGAGACGCGGAGACGCGCTCCCTCGACCTCGGGCGCGGCCCAGCCAGCCCCCCTTTGTGACGGGCGCTCTTGCGAGCGTGACGACCTGCCCGCTCTGGAGGCCCGCCTCTGGCTGCATGCGTGCGTCTTGCAGCGATGTGAGGAGGCCGCCGCGGGAGAGTGCTGGCCCACTGGGGGTGGGTCGGGCCTTTCCTGAGCCACGTCACGTCGGGCTGTGAGCGGGGCGCCCTGGTCATCCACCATGACCCGGAAGCAGTACTCCGCCATGACGTTCTTGCTGGGGCGGACGCTCCAATCACAGCCCTGCATCACCTCCCCGACATTCGGGGCCTCCCGGGGGCCTGTCTGGGGCCCGAGGGGCCATCCTTGGGATCTCTTGGATGTCTCTTGGGCCGTCTCGGGGGCATCTTGGGTCCTCCTGCGGGCTTGTCTGGGGCCTCTGGACACCCTCTTGCTGTACTTTGGACGCCTCTGGGGCCGTTCCCGGGCTATCCCCCAGAGCCTCTTCTGGAGAACAGCCTGGGAAGCTTGTTAGGACCGCCTTGGAGCCTTCCTAGGGCGTCCTGGAGGCTCTCGAGGGCTTTGTGCGGACTCTCTTGGGGCCTTCTTGAAGGAGACTTGGAGCTCTTTGGGGGCGTCTTCGGGCGCTCTTGGGCCATCTTGGGGCCCTTTGGGGCCGTATGGGGCCTCTCTTGGAAGCCTTTTGGGCAGTGTCGGGAAGATCTAGGAGGCGTTGGGAGCCGTCTAGAGCCGTCCTTGAGGCGAAGTGGGAAGAGCCAGAAAATTCTTTACAAGTCTCTCGAAAAATCTACCAATTTGGCCTTGGGGGACCGTCATCGGGGTCCTCTTGAGCCGTCTTGGCAGGCTTCCTGCCTTGTCTTGGGGTCTTGTTGGGCCATTTTGAGGCTCGTTTCGGTCTCTCCGGGGCGATCCAGGTGCGCTCTCTCGGCGTATCTGAGCCGTCGTTGGAAACCTCGGAAACCTCTGGCGGCCGTTCAGGGCCGTCCAGGACCGCCCCCAGAACGCCGGCGACTGTGCAGAAGCTGACGAACGAGCAACACACACCCATACCCATAGGGGGGTCGTTGAGAGGAGGACTGGCTATGGGTATGGGTGCGGGTTGTCGGACCCTGGGGAACGCTCCCGTTCGAGCGGGGACCCCCATCCGACAACACGCACCCCTATGGGTATGGGTGTGTGTTGTCGGTTCGTCAGAAGCGCTCTGTGAGCGCCGGGAGCCGCCCCAGGCCGAGGCGCGGCAGCGCAATCTCGTGGGCACTGATCCCACGGGCATCGAGCTCCAGCTTCGCCTCACACTTCTCGCTCAGCAGGGCAAGGGCCCGCTGCCACTGCTCGCCCTTCGCGCACGCGCTGATCGCAGCATTATAAGTGACTAGGGCTGACCCGTGGACTGCGTCCACTCGCGGGGGGAACAGGTGGTGCCACCAGACGCAGTCGAGAAGGCTGGGCCCCATGCTCGCCTTCCCAAGTCTCGCAGATGGAACGCCAGATGGTCGCGGGCGTCGTGCGCAATTCCTCTCCACCTCCTCCTCTTCCTCCTTCTCTTCCTCCTCCTCCTCCTCCTCCTCCTCCTCCTCCTCCTCCTCCTCCTCCTCCTCCTCCTCCTCCTCCTCCTCCTCCTCCTCCTCCTCCTCCTCCTCCTCCTCCTCCTCCTCCTCTGGGTCGACGCTCGCCGCTGCCCAGAGGACGAGATCGAACGCGGGGGCGGCCTGTGAAGTTGCCTCCGCGGCCGGGGCGCCGAGGCCTCGGCGCCCGCCCCCCGGGGACGCGGGCATCATTCGGCACGGCCCGCGGCGGGGGTGCGAAGGGCGCAGCGCCCGAGCTCGGGGGCCGCGGACAAGAGCTAACATGCCGCTCCTGCGTTGCATGTGGCCCTCGTCGCCTCGAGCTCAAGGGCCGCCCCGCAAGAAGTCCCCGTGCTCTTGGAGCCTCCCGGGGGCCCCCTGGGAGTCCTCAGAGGCATGCTGGGGCTCACAGGCCCCTCTTGGTCGATCTTGAGGCCTCGCTGGGGCCTCCTGAGGGCCGTCTCTGCGACGTCTTAAAGCTTGGAGCCTCCTTGGGCCTCTCTGGAGCCGTCTTGGCGCCCTCTTGGGCCGTCTTGGTTTCTTTTTGGGCTGCCTCGGGGCCCTCCTGAGGGCCTCCTGGGCCGTCCGGGGCCGATGAGGAAGTCCCCTGAAGCCGTCGTGGACGGTCGAGAATCCGAAAAGGCGAGCAAGCTAAAACCCGACCAAAACTAACGGCAATCTGGGATTTTCGCTTCTAGAGCCTCTCTCAGGGTTCCTCTTGGGCTGCTCCTGAGGCGGATTGGGGCCTCTTCGGGGCCTCCAGGGAGCTGTCAGGGGCACGTTTGGGGTCTCTGGTCCCCCTTCGCCCCTCTTGGGGCTTCATTTGGGCTCTCTTCGAATTTTCCCAGCGACCACGCCAGGGCTGCAGGGGCCCTTGCCCCGGCCTTTCACGCCCCGCCGGTCGCGGGCCATGTTCCACCCCTCCACGAAAAGCGCGCCGCACGCTCCATTCAAGCGGTTGACCACCTCCACCCACGTCTCGGTCGTGTTCTCTGAGCGACGCCACCGGAAGCCCCACTGGATGCTGGCCCCGGGGGTTCGACACAGCCGGTCCGGGCGCTCGGTCCAGCCGGTCGCCCAGCATAGACGTCGCCAGCTTTCCGAACCTTTTCGCCCAGGTCGCGCAGGCAAGGGCCGAGCTTCCTCCTCCTCCTCCTCCTCCTCCTCCTCCTCCGCCTCCGCCTCCTCCTCCTCCTCCTCCTCCTCCTCCTCCTCCTCCTCCTCCTCCTCCTCCTCCTCCTCCTCCTCCTGCCACCCTCGGGGACGGGGCGCCCACGCGCGCAGCTCGCCCCTGCCAACGCCCAGCGCACCGCCGCCTGCAACGGATTCCTCTGTGGTAGGCGGTCTTGCGATTGGCCGCCGGTGGCTGCCTGGCGCCGGCCAAGGCTCCAGCCGCGGCCGTCACGCAGAATGACGTAGTTTTCAATGTGCTCGTTGGTCTCGAAGCGGAAGCCGTCGTGGCGCAGGCCCAGTGGGCAGGGCAATGCCGGGCAGCGGGGCGTCGGGGGGGTCCGCCAGTAGGTCGCACCCCGAGCTGGACATTCCCCCGCCGACGCAATCCACGGCGCGGGCCCCGGGCCTGCGTCAGCCTGGCCATGCAATCAGGCGCCGGAGCTGGTCAAGGCCGCAGACAGAGCGCACGCGGCGCAGTAGGACATCAATCCTGCCATCGAGCGTTCTGAAACCCTTGGGCTGCATCCACATTGGCGCCAAACCTTCCCAAGATGGGCAGGAGCGCCTTGTACCAGGGGTCGCGGAAGGCGAGGGCAGCTCCCCATACGTCCCACGCGGGGCCAGGTTTGCCGCGGGGGCACAGATGCTCCCGGGGCCCACGGATCACGATGAGCATGATGGCCAGCCGGTTCGCACGCCTCAAAAATATGTTGGGCTTTTTGTCGGGCCCATGGCGCTGGCCCCTCCGCTGCTCCCAGCCGCCTGCGGGCTGCCCAAGCATCGCTCTGAGGTAGCTGGCTGTGGGTCGCCCCGCGCGGCGCCGACAGCGGCAGGCGGAGCTGCTCCAGCAGCCAGGTGGCTGGCGCGGAGTCCCACGGGGGACGGAGTCGCCCTTTCTGCGCCGGCGATTGCTGGGCCCCCTCAACTTAGGCTCGGGAGGAAGCTTCTCCTCTGCCAGGCGCGCCTTCAGGTCGCCGTCCTTTCGCAGGCCTGCCAGGCGTAGCAGCACCGCCCAAGTTGCGGCGCAGGCGTAGCTCGCGGGGCCCAGACCCAGATGCAAGTCGCGCGGGAAACCGTCGTGGCCGAATAGCGTCGGCTGCAGGATGCTGCTTCCTGCGGCGATCCGCCAGGACCCGGGGCGCGTCGGCCGGTCCGTGCACGCGCGGACGGGGGCCCATGACGCAGAAGACGACTGGGGCGAAGCCTGGGTCCATCAGTAGCCAGGTCTTGGCGTTCTGCAGATCTTCAGCCAGGGCGCCCCAGTCGCGGTCGTAGGACAGCGGGGAGCCGACCAGGGTGGCGAAACCGAGCTGCTACTGCTCGCGCATCTGGGCGAGCTTCCGGTCCCTGGCCCGAGTCGCCGCGTCAGCTTCCGCCCCGCTGGGGTCGTCCGCCGCGGTCTCGTCCAACACCGTGGCATCGCAGGGCTTGGCTGGCCTGATGCAATGGTCCTCTGCAAGCCCCTGCAGCCCCCTGCGCGCCGCGGATACCCCGGCCACGTCCAGACGCCCGCCCCCACGGCGAGGCGGCGACTCGATGGCTGCGTTGAAAATCGAAAGCCAGAAAAACGTCGATATTCATGAAATGCATTGGCAAATAAGAAGCACCAAGGACAAACCGCAAGTGCTAATGTTTTGTTGGCGCAACACGTAGCAGCACTGACAGTCCCAGGTAAGTCTTCCGTTGCTCCTGTTTTCTCTGCGAAGGCAGAAGTTGCTTCCTATGTTTCCCGCGTTGGCCACGTGCTCCCAGCAAGCATCCGCGGCCAAGCGGTGCCGCCACTCGGATCCCCCACAAGTTGGAAACAGTTGCAAGTCCGTACAAATAACATCGATTTGAAAATTCCCGTAATCAAATTCAACGCGCAAAACCTGAGACATAAAATCAACGCGTAACCCGCTGGCGCAATGATAGACTGCGAGGGAGTGCCAGGAGCAGCGCCGCGGGGCCGCCGAAAAAGCACGGAAAACGTGTTTAAAAAAACATGCAACGATCAATGTTGAAGTTTGCGCATCAAATAAAAACACTGACCGTCACAGGCTTCCCCCCGCGTTTCCCTTGCTGCCTTATGACAACGCAAACTGTTGCCGACGTTTCTCGTTTTCCAGTTTTCCTGGGAGCTTCCACGGCCCCGCGGCGCCGCCGCGGGAATTCCCCGCAGTTAGATGTAAATCGAAATGCCCCGCGATCCATTTCAATGTGTAAATCCACACAAGTGAGATCAAATTGAAAATCCACACACACATACTCAATATGTCAACCCCAAACAAATCAAAATGCAATCCGCCTACACATTGATTACGTTTGCAACGGAATTCCAAAGGCGGCGCCGCGGGGCCGCGGAAGCTCAGCAGGTAAACAAGGAAACGAAAACTAGAAACATGCTTTTGGTTTCACCAGGAAAAGCACGGACAACTGAGATAAGCATGTAATTCACGATGATGCTACAAGGAAAAGTACAGACAACCGAGTAAAACAAGTAGCTGGCAATGCTGCGCAACACATAAAAACGCTGACAGCCACAGGTTGTCCTCCGCGTGTCCTGCGCTTCCTGGTGAATGCACAAGCTGTTGCCAATGTTTCCTGCTTTTCCTGTCTTCCTGGCAAGGCTCCGCGGCCCCGCGGCGCCGCCGATACGACTCGCTGCAACTGGAAACAACCTGAGAAGCCCCAAACTGAAATTCAATGTGTAAACCCTCGCAATCTTAATCACATTGAAAACCAAAGAATCAGATTCAGTGAGTGAACCCCACAAGAATGATCAAGTTGTAAACCATTTACGCGTTGACTTCGGCTGCGATGGACTGCCAGAACCAGCGCCGCGGGGGCCGCGCGCATATCGGGAGGCCGGAGACCACGCGCGGAGGCGGAACTCGCAGAGAGCGACTCGAGAACCGCACCAAGTGCAGACGACAGTCCGCGAGACAGCCGTTGAAACAGGAATGCGCCACCGAAGAAACCCGCGTGCGCAGCCAGAGGACTGAGGTCTACACTGCTCGTATCCAGCTAGCGCCTTTGGCGCTTTGCTGGCGCCCTGGCGATTCTGCGCAAATGTCTGTTGACCTTTTTCGCACACGTGGGGCCCTGCCATTCCTCCACAGAATTCGAACTGGGAATCTTCACCCGTCCTAGCTCGAGCTGCCGCCGTAGGATGGGCCATCGCGCGGGCATAGCAAGACACGGGCGAAAGTTTCGACAACCCTTCTGGCACCCTTTCTTCCATGTGCAAGGAGACTATTTTCCCTAACGCAAACAAGTCCAAAGTTAACTCGCACCACCAGCGGGTCGATGCGGACACGGTGGCGCTGCGTGCTGTGAGCTGGAACATTACTGCCCAATTGGGAGTTGTTCCCGGGGTCGGCGTGGACGTTGGTGTCGGCGTCGGTGCTGCCGACTGTGCTTTCGTAGGCGCCAGCGTCGGTGCTGGGGACGGTGCCGACGTCGGTGTCGGCGTCGGTGCTGGCGACGGCGCTGGCGTATGTGCTGGCGGCGGTGCCGGCATAGGGGCTGACGTCGGTGTCGGCGTCGGTGCAAGCGACGGTGTTGGCGTAGGCGCCGGCGACGGTGCCGGCGCAGGCGCCGAAGTCAGTAGTGTCGACGTCGGTGCTTGCGACGGTGCTGGCGCAGGAGCCGGCGTCGGTGCTGGGATCGGCGCCACTGTTGGTGCCGGCGACAGTGCTGTCGACGGGGCTGGCGTAAGCTCTTGTGGCGGCGCAGCGTCACGTTGCTAGTTAGGGCACGCACCTGCCAGGCCAGCCGTTCCCAGAGGATGGGCTGGCATCCCCCAAAAGTGTTGGGGCAGGGCGTCGGGCAAGATGTCCGTCGGGAGGGTGTCAAATGGGACGTCGGGGGAGGCGGCGGGAAGGGGGTCGGGAGGGGCGCTGGGCAGGGCGTCGACGGGCAGGGCGTCGGGAAGCGCGACGAGCAGGACGTCGGGAAGGGCGTCGGGCAGGGCGTCGGGCAGGGCGTCAGGTAAAGTGCCAGGAGGGATGTCGGGGAGGGCGTCGGGCAGGGCGCCGGGCCGAGCGTCAGGCAGGGCGTCTTGCGCAACATGTTTCTTATGTCTCTGGTCGTGGTGGCTGTTCCGCAGTAAAGTCGTGGTGGCTGTTCGTGGTCATGGTGGCTGCTTCTGGTCGTGGTCGTGATGGCTGTTCGTGGGTGTGGCGGGTGTAACTCCGCATCATGGACACCTCCATGTGTCACGGAATACCCCCTTCCTGGGTGGACGCCGGCGTGTCGCCGTGATGGTCTTGGATGTGGTCGTGGTGGCTGTTTCTGGTCGCGCAGGCTGTCTGATCGTGGTCGCGGTGGCTGTTCGTGGTCGTGGTGGCTTTTTCTGGTCGTGATCGTGGTGGCTGCGCGTGGTCGTGGTGGCCGCTTCTGGTCGTGGTGCCTGTTCCCCGTCGTGGTCGTGGTGGCTAATTCTGGTCGTGGTCGTGGTGGCTGCTCGTGGTCGTGGCGGGTGCAACACCGCATCAAGGACACCTCCACGTGTCACGAAGTACCCCCTTCCTGGGTGGACGCCGGCGTGTCGCCGTGGTGGTCGTGGACGTGGTCGTGATGGCTGTTTCTGGTCGTGTAGGCTGTTTCTGGTCGTGGTCGTGGTGGCTGCACGTGGTCGTGGTGGCTGTTGCTGGTCGTGGACGTGCTGGCTGTGCGTGGTCGTGGTGAGTGCCACACCGCATTCAAGACACATCCATGTGTCACAGAATACCCCCTTCCTGGGTGGACGCCAGCGTGTCGCCGTGGTGGTCGTGGACGTGGTCGTGATGGCTGCTTCTGGTCGTGTAGGCTGTTTCTGGTCGTGGTCGTGGTGGCTGTACGTGGTCGTGGTGGCTGTTGCTGGTCGTGGACGTGCTGGCTGTGCGTGGTCGCGGTGGCACCAGAGGCGTGGTAGTGATGGGGTGGTTGCCAATAGTAGAGCCGATAGTAGACAGGCGAATGTGGTAGGGGTGGAAGTGGGAATGGGACGTCGGATGTTGTCGGCTTGAGGTTGGGGTGCCGAGTGGGCGGAGGCGGCAGGTAAATAGGTGGATGCGGGAGTGCAGTGAAACGCCGAGTGCTGGGGGCTGGAGGTCGGAAAGTGAAACGGCGGAGGCAGTAGTCCGTAGGGTTCGGATGTTGGAGAGTGGAGGTTGGGGGGAAAGGGCGTCAGGGAGGGCACCGGGAAAGCCGTCGGGAAGGGCGACGGGAGGGGCGTCGGCAAGGGCGTCGGGGAGAGCGCAGAGTCGAATCGTGAGGTAGTCGTAGACGGGATGGCCCCGTCGGGACACGCCGCGGCCCGGAGAGGCGGAAGTTCATCGGATCCGGCGCCAGACTCGCCGCGGAGCGTCATCGGCCTCTCGGTCGCGCTGCCGCGGGTAGTTGTCGCCGGCCGCACCGCATAGACGTCGAAGTCTGGATGCTATAACAGGGGGATGCGTTGCAGCATCCGTTGAGGGGCCTCTGCGGGCTTTCTGGGAGCGCTTGTGGGGCCATCTTGGGGAGCACTTGGGGCTCTAGTGGGCCATCCTTGGGCCATCTTGGGTCGTCTTCGGCGCCTCTTGGGCCTTCTTGGGGCTCTCTTGGGCCGTCTTGGGCCGTCTTGGGGCTCTCTCGAACCGCCTAGGGATTCTCTCTGGCCGGCTTGGAGCGATCTTGGAAGATTTTGGGCCGTCGTGGACGGTGCAAGGGCCCAGAAGTCGTGTATGTTAAGACTGTGGGCAAACTAAAGAAAACTTGGATTTTGTTGTAATGGGAGGCCCTGATGGGAGCGCTCTGGGGGCCTTTCGAGAAGCTCTTCGGCCGCCTAGAGGCCGTCTTGGGATACCTCGGGGCCCTCTGAGGCCGTCTGGGCGCCATATTGGGCCATCTCGAGGCCATCCTCGGCCAGCAGTATTCGAGGCATCTTCGGCGAACTTGGAGGCCTCTTAGACTCGCCTGGGCCGTCTGGAAGGCGCAGGCCCTCATGGCGGGCCCTCCCAGCAGGCCCCCGCAGGCACTGCCAACAGAGCCACGCACCACGCGCTGCTCCCAGTGGTGTGTAGGATGGACCAGTGCCGACCCGTGGGCTGCGCCCACTCTGCGCGGGGAACGGGTGGTGCCGCCAGGCGCACTCGATGAAGTTGGCCCCATGCTCGCTTTCCACGCCTCGCCGAGCAGCGGGAGCGCCCAGTGGCGGGGGCGGCATGGTAACTGTGGCCGCGACCAGGGGTGGCAAGGCCTCAGCGCCCGCCCCCGGGGCCACGGACATCACTGAGCAAGGCTCGCGGCAGGGTGCGGAGGCCGCAGCGCCCGAGCCCAGGGCCGTGGACATGATTCAGTACGCCACCTTCACGTTGAATATCGCCCTCGCCTTCCCAAAAGCTCAGAAGAAGGCCGCACTCGAAGAAGCCTTTCTTGCGCTCCCGGAGCTGTCGAGAAACGCTCTTGGGCAGCGTCGAAGCTCTCGTCGGGGCCCTATGGGCAGTCGTGGTACGTCTCGGGTGGGTCCTGAAGCTGGCTTGGGCTGCCTCTGCGCGAAACGTCGAGAATCCGAACAAAATGCCGTCGGTCTCCTCGGGCAGTCTTGGTAATGCTTCTGGACTTTTCTGGGAGCCTTTGGGCGCTACGGAACGGTCGTCAGCCGTCTCGGAGGAGACTAGGACTAGCATGGGGGCCGCGGCCAAAATTTAACACTGCACCTTCGTGTTAAATTTCGTCCGCACCTCGTCGAGGTCTCAGGGACCGATCTGGAGCGATGTTGCAGCCTTTTGACTCTCAGGCCCTTTTCACTCGCACCAACGCCTGCAACGCAGGGAAGGAGACTAGTGTGTACCCGTGCTCTGCCGTCACGTAGTCTGCCCGATCTGACATGTGATATGCCTGGGCCTTCGCAAAACGCCTTATGGAGCCCTCTTGGGCCGACTTCGGGGCGCCCAGAGCCGTCTTGAGGCCGTGTTGGGCTATCTTGGGGCCCTGCTGGACCGTCTGGAACCCCTCGTGGGCAACCTTGAGGCTATCTTCGGCCATTTCGGAGGCTTCTTAAGCGACCCGTGAGGCCGCAAGGACCAAGTCGGGCCCCTCTTAGGGCCATCGTGGAGCCCTCTTCGGCAATCCTCGAGACTTCTCGAGCCGTGCTGGAGTCCATCTTGGACGCCTCTGGGGCTGTCTTGGGCCGTCGGAGGCCCGGAAATGCAAGAAAGCTGGAACCCTTCCAAAACCGAAAGAGAATCCAGGCGAGAAAACTGAAACCCTTCGATAACCTACAGAAAAATACAAGATGCTGCCCGTCTCTGGCCTTCCTAATCTCTTGGACAATGTGTGGCGTCTCTTGCGCAACCCTGGGGGGCCTCATGGGCCATATTGGGGCCATGTTGGGGGTCTAGGGCCGTCTTGGAGCCCGCTCTGGGCTCTCGTGGGCAGCTCTTGGGGCCCTTCTGGGGCTGTCTTACGAGGCGCTTGGTGCTCTACTGGGCCTTCTTAATCTTGGGCCGTCTTGGGGCGCTCCTGGGCCGTCTTGGGGCTATCTTCGAGGCTTCTTGGGCTGTGTTGGGGCGATCTGGGAGGGCCCTGGAGCCGTCTGGGGCTGCTGTGAGCGTTGGGGGAAAATCTGAAAACCGCTCAGAAGCAGAAAAAAAAACAAGCTTTGATTTTGAACTTGTCGGGCCGTCGTCGAGGCGACTCCCCACTCGCCCCTGAAGGCGGCAGCGCGAGGGTCTGGGCCTGGGCGCCGCGGCGCCGCTCACTCAGCCGCGGGAAGCTCGATTGCCTCTCTACAAAAGGTGGAGCTCAGCACGGGCAGTACATTCCCGAAGGTGTCTCCGAGCAAGGACAGGCTCAGCTGCCACTGCCCTCCTGTCGCGCACGCCTTTACTGCAGCGGTGTGGGTCGCGGCGTCAGGGGACAACCTGCTTTCCAGAATCATCGCGAACAACCACAAAGCCTGCTGCCATGCCCCGGCATTCCCACAAGCACAGAGCCCAGCGGAATAGCCGATAATGTTCATCTCTACATTCGCCTTGATCGCCTCGTTAATTGTCAAAAGCGCCTGCTGCCACTGGCTCCTTCTCGCACAAGCATCAACTCCAGCACTGTAGGAAACGACATTGGGCTCCAGCTCTGCATCCCGCGTCTGACCTAACAATGCCAGCGCCAGTTCCCACATCAAACCCTTGCCGCAAGCACTTATTCCAGCAGTGAAACTAACGACGTCTGGTTCCAACATCACCTCCCGCATCGCGCTGAGCAGCGCCAACGCCCGCTCCCACTGTGCACCCTTCTCGCACGCGCTGATGCCCCTGTTGTATCCGATAACGTCTTGCTCCAGTTTCAGCTCCGGCAGCTCGTGCAGCAGCGACAGTGCAAGATCCCATTGGCCGCCTTTCTCGCACGCTCCGATTCCAGCATTATAACTGGAGACGCTCAGCTCAAGCTTCGCCTCTGACTACCTACCAGACCACCCCAACCCAACCCGAAGACCCGAATTTCGGGTTGGGGGGGGTAAGGGTTCCACATGTGTTTTTTCGATGTTTCCCAACCCCCCCCACTGGAAATCGAGGGTAAATCTGAGCCTTCGGGTTGGGTTGGGGTGGTTTGGTGGGCGGTGAGCCTCCATCGCATCGCTCAGCAATGAAAGCGCGCGCTCCCACTGCCCACCAGTCTCGCACGCGCTGGCTCCGGCATTGTAGCTGATCACGTCTGGGCTCATCTTGACATCCCCTAGCTTGCTGAGCAGCGACAGGGTCAGCTGCCAAAGCCCTGCTTTCCCGCAGGTGCTAATCATAGTATTGTAGCAGATGAGGTTCGGCTCCAACTTCACGCCGGCCATCTCGCAGAACAAGAACCAACCGCGTTGCCATTGCTCACCTCTCTGACACGCAGTGATTCCAGCAGTGTAGCCGATATTATCTATATCGGCCCTTGATTCCAACATCTCGCTGAACAAAACAATCGCCATCTGCCAACCCTCACCCGTCGCACACGCACTGACTGCAGCGTTGTAACTGAAGGTGTTCGGCTTCAGCCTAACCTTCCTGATGTCTCCCAATACGGTCAACGCCTGCACCCAGAATGCACATTTCTGACACGCACTCACTACAGCACTATAACTGATGATATTTGGCTCCAGCTTCGCCTCCCACATCTCGCTGAGCAGCGCAAGAGCGTGCTGCCACTCTCCGCCTTTCTCGCACGCGCTGATCCCAGCACTGTACACCACAACATCCAGCTCCAATGCGGCCGCCACTGGCGCCCTGAGCAAAGACAATGCAAGCTGCCACTGCCCGCCTTTCTCGCACGCGCTGACCCCAGCACTGTAGGTGATGATATCGGGTTCGAGTGTTGCCCCCCTCACCCCGTCCAGCAACGATAGTGCCTGCTGCCACTTCCCACCCTTCTCGCACGCGCTGATCACAGCATTGTAGCTGACTGAGGTAGCCTTTGAATGAGATGCACGGCTGGCAAATCATTGAGTCTGTGATGCAAGCGTGCCTCTATCGGATCATGCTGCATGGTGCCAGTGCTGATACAAATTCGTTTGGTTAGCTTGTTGTTCGTGCGTATGCTCATCATTACGTTCCCTCTGGTGTGGACATGATCGGCTTGACTGCGCTTGGCCAAGCAAGGGGGCAAACCATCCTGGGAAGGCCGCAGTAACAAATAGCACAATAGATGCTGGACAGGCGGGCAATAAGTACCGAAGAGTGGGCAGAGAAAGGCGACCGCGAAACGCAGCGCTTCGCGAGGTTGAGAACAGCACATGACTTATGACGAGTGGACTGGGGGGTGCAAGGTGGTGAGCGGATTGCTGGAAAAACCGCGTGGGAGCGAAGACAGCAGGTGAAGCGGGCAGCCGCGGTTGGCGGGTGCAGCGGGTCGTTCCTTGCACCATAGTTCTTGACCTCAACCACTGCCAATGCCACATTGTTTGGTCTGCGGCGAGCTGGCTCCGGCAAGCGGTCTGCTCACGGCGGGACGCTGCGGAAGCGAATGTCGCACACAGGAACAGGCAGGCGGGAGGGAAGGAGAGGAGGGCCGCGAGACGGCGGGAACACCCTCAGAGCATGAAGCACTGCAAGGTGTGCCGGAGGCAGGCTCAAAGTATCGCAGTTGCCAGTGCTTTTGCAGGTACATCGCAAATCCAGGGTAAGGAGACGGCTCATTCGGAAGTCAACTGCGAATGCTACACACTCCACCTGGTGTGTGATGACAGGTGGCGGGCGGGAATGGTGTGGACGGGTGGCAACTCGAGCAGAGAGAACCGAGGGCAGTGTGGCGAGGACGGGTGGCGGGTGGATAGGCGGTGCCCAGCGGCGGTCTTGGAGCCACGATGGAATCGTCTTGAGACCACTCTGAACACATCTCTGGTCAGAAAAGCGAGGAGGCACAGAACCGATTGTAAGCAATATGTTCCCGTATGCGTGGGCCTCTCAAGATTCTCTTTGGAGCGTCGACGGGATCTACTGGGAGCTTTCGGAGGCCTGTTGGGGGAGATGTCCTGGGCATCTCGGGATCTTGAGTCAATCTTGGCGGGCCCTCTCAAAGGACTCTTTAGGCACGTGAGACAAGTATCAGTTTGGGCTGAAGTGTTCTCTCTGGTGTTTGTCTGGGGCCTGTCTTGGCGCCGCCTCGGGCTTCTCTTTGAGCCTCTCGTGCGTCTCGTAGGGCCTGCTAGGCTGTCGTCGGGCCTTCTTGGAAGCTTATGTGAGCGTTGGGACCCCGATCTTGGGGGCGTCTTGGGGGCGCTCTGGGGCCATGCTGGAATCTGTCCCTAGCGTCCCACTGCCAGAGCGACGCGTTCCAGCACGCACTGCATCCGACAGTAGAAAGAAATCACGTTGGGCGCCAGCTTCACCTCCCACATCTCGCTGAACAGCGCAAGAGCGTGCTGCCACTGATTGCCTTTCCCGCACGCGCTGATGCCAGAACTGTGGCTGACTAGGGCTGACCCGTGGACTACGTGAGCGAAATCTGCACGAACTGGCATGTGATGTTGGACAGTCTGCCGAAAGGCTGACATGATGATGTGAGGCTCGAACTTCGCATTCCGCGCATGTTACTGGGTGCTGCTGCTTGATGCCGCTGCTGGGCGCTGCTGCAGCTGCAGAGCGCTGCTGATGGCCACCTCTACTTTGAGCGTGCTGCTGCCCGATACCTGCTGCTGCTACTGCTTGCTGTTGCTGTGCGCTGTTGCTGTGCGTTCCCGCCGTTGCTGCCCGCTTCGCGCTGCTGCTGTTAGCTGCTGGTGGTTGACGCTGCAGTGTGATACTTTTCGCTGAGCCAGTGTTCTGACGAGACGTGCTGCGGGGAGAGGAAGGATCGAAGAGCGGGGAATCAGGATCGAGAACATCGAGGAGATCGAGGGGGGAAGCGACGATTGATCAGCGAAGAGCGAGGTGCGAGAAAGTGGAGCGACGGCTGAGGGGAGATGGGCGAGGAGTGCCGAGATTCGACGAGGTCCATCGTCCTGTTAAACATCTGGGGACTGTTTTCGGACCCCTGGGCCGTCAAACATCGATCTGGGGTGCAAGACCAGTCTGGAAAGACCCTCCCATCAGTTCGGGAGCAGGCTCCTCAGGGATTTTGACGATGTTGAGGGGGCGTTGGGTTGGAGGCTCCAGGAGCCTTTGCCTACTGTTTGTTTATGTCAGCTGTTGCGAACAGTTTGTCTGGTTGTATTCGCTTGTTGCTTGCTTTCGGCTTGCTGGCTTGCTGGCTGGCTGGCTGGCTGGATGCTTGCTGCTTGCTTGCTTGCTGGCTGGCTTTCTGCTTGCTGATGCTGACTGCCTTTGCTGCTTGCTTCCGAAAGCGGTAACGGGGGTCCCCTAAGCTGAATCTAGGCCTTCTCATGTCTTCTTTGAAGTCTCTTGGGCTACCTTGGAACCTGGCCGGGCTTTCGGGGGGTGCAGGGGCTGCGGGAGAGGGCGTGTTGGGCCGCCCTGGGACGATCTTGAGCCGCCTTGGGGCAGTATTGGTGCCAAGGCTGGAAATTCAGAAGGGCACGTTCGCCTTCTGCTCGAAAAGGTCGGAGGGTGCGCGCAGGCTGCGCAGGCTCGGAAGAAATTTGGACATCCGAAATGGGTACCGAAAGAATGGGCACAATGCCCAACAACAAATGTTGTCCCAAACCAACAGCGGCCGCTGTTGGGCAGGCGGCCTTCTGTCTCGAATGGACACAGGCCGCGGCGGCGTGGACAGCCAATCCTGTTCAAAATGACCAGGATTGGCTGTTGGGCACTGTACCCATTCTTTCCGTACCCATTTCGGGCGTCCAGAAGAAAGCAGAAGGCACTGCGGCGCATGCCCCCTGTGACCGGCGGTTCGGGAGCACCCTCAAGGGAGAACTGCCCGACGGGTCGCCCACGTAAGACCGAGGACAAACAGAATCGCCAGGGTGCCGAGTTTCTGGGTAGGCGGATTTTGGACGAAAAATCAAAAATTCCTTCAAAATGCGCCAAAAAGGCCAAACATAATCCAACAAGTCGTCCCCGTGCTATTTTGTTGACTATTTGGGAAGATTCCTCCTGTAGAGGGACAGGCACGACTTAACCATAGCTTTCTAGGGGATCCTCCATCGGAAGCCTCCTTGAGGCGCTTTGGGGCGTGTCCTGGAGCTTGTCGCGGGGACCTCTTGGGACCTGACCTGGGTATCTTGGAGGCCTTCTGGGGCTTCTGGTGGGCCTCTTGGGGGCATGCTGGCGGTCTCGGGGGTCATTGTTGGCCCCTCTTGGGCCTTCTTGGGCCGTCTTGGGGGCCGCCTGGGCGGTCGTGGGGCCCTCTTGGGCCGTCTGGGGCGCCTCTTGGAGGCCGTGTTGGGGCGATCTCGGGGGCCTCCTGGGCCGTCCTGAAACATCCGAAGCCTGAAAAAGCGAGGACTTCAAAAGCAGCGAAAAACCGAAAGGGATAACCATGACTTTGGCCTCTCGGAGCCCTCTTGTGAGGCCTCTTGGAGCCCTCTCGAGCACTCCTGGGGCCCTGTTGGGACGTCTGAAGATTATATTAGGGCGACGACATCTATACATATCCACTGCTCCCTGGCGAGGCCCATCCTGAACCCAGCAGCTGTGTATACGCTGCGCCCTCCTGGCGTGGCCAGGAGGGCGTATGCACAACTCCTGGGTTCAGGATGGGCCTGGCCAGGGAGCAGTGGATATGTATAGATTTCGTCGCCCGATATATTGGCAACCTCTGCGGCCGCCTGGAGGCGTCTCGCGCCATCGGGGGCCGTCTCGGAGCCCGCCGGGGCCCGCCGTGGGGACCGCTTTGGTGGCCTTGGGGTCCTCTTGGGCAGTTTGGGAGTCCTCTCGGGGGGCTCGCTGACTACCTACCAGACCACCCCAACCCAACCCGAAGACCCGAATTTCGGGTTGGGGGGGGTACGGGCTCCATATGTGTTTTTCGATGTTCCTGGACCCCCCCCCACTAGAAATCGAGGGTAAATCTGAGCCTTCGGGTTGGGTTGGGGTGGTTTGGTGGGCGGTGAGGGCTCGCTGGGCCGTGCGTGGGCAATTCTCGAAGCTTCTTGGGCCGTCTTGGAGCGTCGGAAGCTCGGACAGGCGGGAACGTCAAAACCATTGACAACCCGATGGAAAAAAATCATGTTGGCCTTCCGGGGCCCTCTCGGAGGACCTCTTGGAGCCCTCCTGGGACGTCTTGCGGCCCTGTCGGGACGTCTGAGAGCCATATTGGCGACCTCTCGGGCCGTCTGAAGGCAGCTCGCGAAATCTGCGACCGTAGCCCGCCAGGGGCCCACCAGAGCTCGCTTGGGCCCGCCAGGGGCGATTTTAGAAACTGGAGGCGCGTCCCGGTGTTCACCCTTCTGGTATGCGTTTCTGCCGACCATGGGGAAAGATGACGTTGGGCTCCACCTTCGCATCCCACATCTCGCTGAGCAGCGCAAGAGCCCGCTGCCACTGCTCGCCCTTCTCGCACGCGCTGATCGCAGCGCTGTAGCTGACTATGGCGAACGCGTGGACTTCGTCAACGACCAGCAAGTCCCCCTGGCGCGCCTCCACGTTGGGTCCCCGCCCAAGAAAAAGTCACCCCGAAGCCTTCGGTGACTTTTTCCGGCCGCCTTTCCGAAGTTGGACGGCGGACGTTTCCTCCTCTTCGTCCGCCTTCCGCTCCACGTCCGCCTGGACAGCCTTCGAAGCGTCACAGACGGCTATGGTGGGTCTGCGGTGTGCCTGTCGCCGCTTGTCTGCTCTCCGTGGTGTGAACAATTTTGAAAGCACCTGGGGCCTAGAAAAAAGTCACGGCTCGCTCTTCGCGCCCTTCGCTTTTGAGAGCCCCTGTGTGAAGGGCTGGTCACGTCACCGCTCGCTTTTGGGAGCTGTGCCTGGGAGCTCTCTACGCTGCGGCTCGCTCTTGCGAGCCTTGGTGAGAAGTGTTTTGTACTTCACCGATCGCTCTTTTAATGGGCGTCTCTGGGCCTGCTTCATGGTCCTTGTGGGGGTCTTCTTCGGGCCATTCTGAAGTTTTTGGGGCTGCTCTGGGAGCGTTTTGGGACGTCTTGGGGCCATTTTGGGCCGTCAGGGGGCATCCGGGAGGCCTTGGACCGTCTTGGAGCTCTCTTGAGGCTGCCTGAGGCCGTCTTGGGAGCCTCTTGGGGCCCCTCGGAGCTCTCTTGGGGCCGTCTTGGGGTTCTGTGATGCCGTTTCAGGACTCTCTGGCGTCGTCTTGGGGCTCTTGTGGACCGTCTTGGAGCCCTCTTAGGGGCAGCTGGCGTCTTCTTGGGGCGATTTGGGAGGCCTCTTGGCGTGTCCTGGGCCGCTGAGGAGCACACAAGGCGGGCATGCTGAAAATATACGTTTTCCTTCTGGGAATTTGACGATTTGTACCTCTTTGGCGTGCGCTCGGGGCCCTCTTGGGGCGTCTTTGCGGCCTGTTGGATCGTCGTGGAGTCCCCCCTGGAAGGCTTCGGGCCCTCGTGGGCCGTCTCGGGACCCACTGAGACCGTCTTGGAGCGCTCTTGGACGGTCTGGGAACCCCTCTGGAGCGCCTCTGGGACCAGCCTGAGCGATTCGGCCCCGTGGTGGCGCTGTAAAGGGGCGATGTTGTGCACTTGAGGCCCTGGGCTTCTCGCACGCGCTTCCATCAGCCATGTAGGAAAGACAAGTGTGAACCCTTGAAAAATCGACGGCTGGCAGGTCGAAATGCTGACCCCGAACGCGCAGATGTCGCCGACGCGAGCAGAAGAAGGATAGGAGAGCGGCACCAGAAAGATGGGGTGGAGGTCCCAGAGGCAGAGGAGGAGGAGGAGGAGGAGGGGGATGAGGATGAGGATGAGGATAAGGATGAGGACGAGGATGAGGATGAGGATGAGGATGAGGATGAGGATGAGGATGAGGATTAGGATGAGGATGAGGATGAGGATTATGATGAGAATGAGGATGAGGATGACTATGACTACGATGATGACGATGATGATGACGATCATGACGATGATGATGATAATGATGACGATGATGCTGATGATGACGATGATTGCGATGTTGATGATTATATCACTGATGATGATGATGATGATGATGATGATGATGTGATGTTGATGAGGGTGATGGTAATGCTGCTGCAGATCCAGATGATGATGCTGATGCTGATGCTGAGCTCCTGCTGATGATGATGATGGTGATGAGGATGCTGGGGATGATGATGATGATGATGATGATGATGACGATGATGATGATGATGATGATGATGATGATGATGATGATGATGATGATGATGATGATGATGATGATGATGGTGGTGGTGATGCTGCTGATGTTGATGTGGATGTTGTTGATGAGGATGATCAACATAATGATGATGAGGAGGAGGGGAAGGAAGAGGAGGAGGAGGAGGAGGACAGAGAAGGAGGGGAGGAGGATGAGACGGAGAAGGAGAAGGAAGAGGACGAGGAGGAGGAAGTAGAGGAGGAGGAGGAGGAGGAGCAGAGAAGGAGGAAGAGGACGACGACAAGGAGTAGGCAGAAGAGGAGGAGGCAGAAAAGGAGGAGGAGGAGGAGGAAGATGAGCGCCAGTGCCTCGTGTCATAGGAGGAGGAGGAGGAGGAGGAGGAAAAGGAGGAAAAGGAGGAACAGGAAAAAGGAGGAAAAGGAGGATGAGGAGGAGGAGGTCCCAGAGGCAGAGGAGGAGGAGGAGGAGGAGGATGAGGAGGAGGAGGAGGAGGGGGGCGGTGAGGCTGAGGACATGAGGATGTGGATGAGGATGAGGATGAAGATGAAAATGCGGAAGGGGGGGGAGGGAGAAGGAGGAGGAGGAGGAGGAGGAAGATGAAAAAGAGGCGGACGAGGAGGCGGAGGAGGAGGGGGACGAAGAGGAGGAGGAGGAGGAGGAGGAGGAGGAGGAACAGGAGGAGGAAGAGGAGGATCAGGACGATGAGGATGGGGATGGGCATGGGGATGGGGATGGAGACAATGATGGTGGTGAGGAGGAGGAGGAGGAGAAGGAAGGAAGAGGAGGAGGAGAGCGGCACCGCAGAAAACGGTGTAGAGGCACAGGCTACTGGCATGGAGCCCCCCCCCGTGTTTAAGGGGGGCGACGCGTAAGGGTGGTATCGTTGTGTAGGTGGCTTGTGTGTTTCCTGCTTCCCCACGTCCTGCCACTGTCACATTCTCTCTCTCTCTCTCTCTCTCTCTCTCGTTCTCTCTCTTTCTCCTCTGTCGATCCCTCTCTTTCTCTCTGTGGCAGTTTGGAATGTGCATTCTGCTGTATTACATTAGGAAGAGAGCGGAACCCTGGGCCAGAGGATTTCTATTTTGATTATAATTAGACCCAGTGCGGGTTTCAATAGACATGGGATGGGCTCCGCATCCAGAAGATTTGCATTGGACTCTAAAAAAATTAGATAGGATTGCAATCGGAAGAAAACGGACCCCCTATCCAGGATATTTGAATTCAAACGTTCCCATTAGATTCCAATAAACATGAGACGGGCTCCGCATCCTGAGGGCTTCGACTCGAATCCGATTGGGTTCTAAAATGAGCCCATTAAGACGAGAGCGGGGCCCTGGGCCAGAGGACTCCTATGTGGACTCTAAGAAGACCACAATTGGGTTCCAATGGAACTGGAACAGAATCCGCATCCACATGTTTCTATTGGAATATAAAAAAGGGTCCTAATAGGATTTGAATAATAAAAAAAGGGACGGACCCCTGATCGAGAAGATTTATATTTATATTCGAACTAGATTGAAATTGAATTTCGATAAAAACTGACGGATCCCACACCCAGAAGGTTTCTATTGGAGTCTAAAAAGGTTAAATCGGTTGCCACTGTTTCACCCAGCCAAAAGTTAGCATTCTTGATACATATATATGTGTGTGTAAAGATAGATATTCTCCACTGTAGTTAGATAATACTAGAAAGCTGTATCCTCCGACCTTCTTAGCCGCGCGTCTATACTTCTACGTGGTTCCCACCTCTTCAAATAAAAACGCTGTGTTTTCATCGCCCCCAATATTTATCAAGGCTTCGGGCGCTGTAACGGACCGACGCACGGCGCGCATTGGAAAATCGGAAAGTACAGCGCGTTTATATGAAAGTATAGAAAATAATTGGAAAGATTGCAGAACACAGCTTTTGAATGATTTCGCTATATTTGAAAATGGAAAACACAGCGTTGCCAATAATCTTTCAATGAAATGAATGGAAGCACCACGGTTTCATTGATTTTGAACCAACCGGACAGGAAAACGCAGCGTCGTCGCATTCCCCCTTATATTTTTAAATCAAACAAACAGAGTTGATGATGATTTGATGATTTGTCACCAACAATAGAAACACAGCTTTTCCATTGATATGTAATCATGTGTTTTGATGTGTGTAATAAGCAAAAAACAAAACAAAAAACGACTTGCTGGTTGACTTTAATTAAAAAGCTTTGAAGCACCGCGTTTGTTTAATTCGCTTCCGAATTCAAAAAATTAGAAAGCACAGCATGTTTTCCACAACTCTAAATTCTGGGAGAAGGGAATGGAAACACTCAGCGTTTTTATGTATGTCGGAAGAACAGCACTGAAAGCACACAACTTTTTGATTTCTTTTTTTAACAACACGATTTAAAGCCACAGCGTGTTTATCGGTTCTGAAATAGATCGGAAAGCGCAGTGCCCGTATATCTTTGTATAATAAATAAAAGGTTGGAAACACACATCGTTGCTTTTATAATTAAAAATATTAAAATTCTGACCAACAAACACGGTTTCATACGTTTCGCTTCAGAAAGGAAAAGAAACACACCGATTCTATTGATTTTCAAGTGAGAAAAATTGGAAAGCACAACGTCCGGTTATTTTCTAAAACTTAATTTGCATACTAACAAACATCCTCTGGACATGGGACCAGCTCTCTTCTCATTGAAATATTACTAGAACCCAATTAGACTCCAATCGAAATCTTCTGGGTACGGAACCCGTAAGCGTGCGAACACACGATTACTTCATGCATTTGCTGCGGTTAAAAAGGTTCGTTGGCATCCTGTGTGAATGCAATGCGTGCCAGAAAAAAAAACAGCGGCGCCACAGATGCGCCACAAGTGTGGAAATATTTTGGAAAACGCATAAGAAACGCTTGAAGGCGCAACCGTGCGAATATCTCAATACGTAATATATGTATGGGTTGTAATAAACTTATGGTGGGTTCTGTGTGAAAGCACTAGATGCGAAAATCAACAGCGGCGCTACAGATGCGCCACAAGTGCGGAAACATATGGGAAACGCAAAAGAACGCTGGAAGGCGTAACCATGCGAAAATCTCACTACGTCATGTATTAACAATTCTTAATCAGAATATGTTGGGCTCTGTGACAGCATTACATGCGAAAAAAAGGGCGGCGCCACAGATGGCCCACATGAACCTGATTGCTTCATG